TTTTTTGGGAGGGATTTTTTTGGGGGGGGGGAAGCAGTCTAGATGGGGTTCTTTTGGGGGTGGGGAAAACCCTTTTACAAAAGAACCCTGTAAACCTCATTTTTTCATGAACAAGCGTTCTTTTGAAAGGGTTTTATTTTTCGGAAGCACCCTGTCTAGACCTTTTTTTTTAAATCTCTTCCAAAAAAGTGATTTTTTATTTTTCGAAAGCACCCTGTCTAAACCTTTTTTAAATCTCTTCCAAAAAAGTGATTGGGAGGGATTATGCAAATGAAGCGTGAGATTTGTAAATAGCTCTTCATTTGCATTTTCGATTTCCCTCATTTGCATTCCTCTTTCGAAAGATGAATGTAGTCTAGATGCACCCGAAGAGCGAACCCTTTACTTCACGCACCTTATGTGATCATAACATTCTCAGTCTCACTTGATCATGCTACCCAAGTATCCCCGTTTTTACCTCATTTCTAGAGGTAACAGTGACTGACCAATTTTCCATGGCTCTTTTCGCCACCCCACTATAGCATCATCAGTTTTTTATTCTCCTTCACCCACCTTCCTATAGAGGCACCTCAAGTTTGCACTGCTCCTGTGTTTGTTATACTGTTTTCATCATTTGTCTTCAGTTTATGCAAGCATTTACTCAGAACAATGCATCTGAAGGAACTTCTTTCTATCTTTCTTGTTCCTGAGTCACCATTAGAGAGAACTTAAAAATCACCTGTGTTCTATTTTTCCAGAGACCCATAGTGATTTCATTAACTTCATTTATGTAAGTACGTGTGTGAGAGAGAGGCATGGTGGCAGTGGAAAAGGCATTACGTTGAGCATAATTGTTCATTTTAACTAAAATATCTAATTATGTGTTTGAGTGTTAAACTTCATCTGGCACAACATACATCTTCATTTTTTCTTAATTAATCATTGCAACAGGTTCAGGCTTTAATCTCTTGAGTAAATAAACCTATGATTACACAGTAAATTTCACAGATTTTTTTTGTAGCCGTTTAATACAAACATTAGTGTAAATAATTGTCTATACTATTAATGTTAAGGTAATTAGCTTATCAGAGTTAACAAACCTTCCTCCTTTAACTTGTACCTTGTCAAATCACTGCAAAATGAACATTAAAAACCCCTTTGGCTATATCTTGATTTGATACAAACATTATTTTAAAATAAAACTTAATTGTATGAGAGAAATCATATGACATCCCTAAATTTTGATGTCAATTTATAACTTGTCACAATTTTCGGTACTGTTCCCGCAGGTACTTAAGCATGTGACTTCAACAGGACTATTCAGGTGCTTATTTGCTTAATTGGTGCCTTGGTTTTAAATTTAATGGTTAATATTGGATCTCACATTTGATCGCCATCTAAAACTTTAGTGCTTATCTCCTCTTGTCATTGATGAGGTTCTCTATATCACATGGAGGGCTGCAGCAGTCTTGCAGCTGATGACCTGTGTAGAAAATAAAAATAAATTCAGGTTGCTGTTGGGATCATGGGCATGCTGTATAATGAGTGACATTGTCCCTCTGCTCCCATTGTAGGTGACTTTAATGAGACAGCAGAAGCCTGAAACTTGCTTTAAAGATTTTGAGGCATAGGATTCTCATCAGTTTTCATTCTGACTCTGACATATTCTCAGTTCGTGTTGCAAGTAATGGTTCATTTCATCAGTTGAGATCTTCAGAATATCTTTTTATATTACTTTCACACTTGCACATGTAACAAAATAATATGCAAGATACAGAGACAATCGTGCTTTGAATCTGTCAGCCTGGAGTATGGATTAAGCTTTTGGCTGTGAACGTAACTTAGAAAGAAAATGAGCTATAAAATTTGAAAGGATTTGTCTACATGGTGCATTGGTTTAGTGGGTGCCAGGCATTAATTGGCCAGGTGGACCCTACTGGAGTACACTGAAAGTTCCCTACTGTGTGTGAATGTAGTACTGTTTGAAATGGAGTTACATTGATGTGTGCTAGTTAATTTTAGTGTGCTCCATCAGGGTCTCCAGGGACCAGTTATTGTGTGACACAGTACCATGCGCTGGAATTGATATCCCTTTCGTGTGAACTAATATACCATGTAGACCTACCTTTCAATTACTGTGATGGGTCAGGACCCTCTTGGGACTGACTCCGGGTATAGTGAGACATCATTGAACCTGCTTCCACTGTCAGCCTGGGCAACCATACCTTTCAATTATTGTGATGGGTCAGGACCCTCTTAGGACTGACTCCCGGTATAGTGAGACATCATTGAACCTGCTTCCACTGTCAGCCTGGGCAACCTGTTACTCTGTCTTGTTGAGCTCAGCTCTCTAGCTTGCTTCAACTGAGACAGAGTCAGGCCACACCCCGAAGGCTGCAGACACAAACTGAAAGCAGCACAATCAGACCTTTTCACAGCACTCAAGTACACAACCCCTCAGGGAGCTAAACCCTAGATAATCCATTTTATGCTATATACAGAGCTATACAATGTAAGTTCATTACATTCACCTTCTTAATGTAAAGAGAGAGATGCACAGGCTCTCTAAGAAGGTGAATGTAAAGAGAGAGATGCACAGGCTCTCTGCTCCCCCAGGTAGTAATTACATGCACTGGCTTTATTACTAAACAAGAATGATTTTATTAAAGATAGGATTTAAGAGGTAGCAGGCCGATTTAAAGCAGGTAACTGAGCAAAGTAAACAAACATGAAAGCTAAGCTGAATACACTAAAGTAAAGACCATACATTGTTACAGGTAAATTCTCCCGCTTCATGAATTCCTGAATCTCTTCATAGGTCAGACACCCTTCCTGCCTGAGCCCAGCTCAGCCTTAGTAGTTTTCAGCAGTTCTCAGGTAGGGTAGCTGGGAGAACTGATCTGACTCATAAATAGGATTGGCATGACGTGAGAGCCCTTCATTTCATAGTTTGACTCCCTCCCAAATTCTCTTAGGAAAAAAAAACAGACTTCCAGATGAGTTCCTGTATCATGTAATATGGTCACACATCTCTGTAGAATAGTGATAGAAATGTAGCCGTGTTAGTCTGGTGTTGATCTGACGAAGTGGGTCTGGCCCATGAAAGCTCATCACCTAATAAACCATCTTGTTAGTCTTTAAAGTGCTACATAGTCCTGTTTTATATCTCTGTAGGGCCCCTATAGCCATTCTTCAGTGGCTGACCCATACCTTCCCAGGAAGGTTAAGCTCTTTCACAGTTCATAGTTTTTTGCAGATTGGCCTTCATCACTGCTGCTTCTTTTATTGTTGTGCCTGAAGTGTCAGCAGTGGGTATGATGTGAAGCAGCATATATGAAATTACATATATACTGATAAATATTCCTAAACTTAATTTACAAAAAGACACATGCACATGTAACACTAACAGGCAGAACAGAACCTCTGGAGCTTAATGCAGGAGCCTCTACAGCTTGAACTAAAAGCCAGGTCGCTCTCAGCTAAAGCTGTGTAGATCAGACTCCTTTCTTCTCTCTGTAAGTGGTCTAAATGCCAGTAAGTGGGACAGTGCACCACACCCAGAAGGTGTGTGAGCTACACACACACGAATGGAATTATATTCAGTAAATTACAATCTGTACAATGATGTTTCATGAGCCTTCTTGCATCAAGCATATCTCAGTTATGACTTATTCACATCTTAAGCATATTTTCATAAATCATATAAAATGCCTCATCACAATTCATCAGTTTTTCTGATTGCTAATTAAAAGGCAAAGATATCCTTTAAAATGGATTTTTGCTATCATAAGTATTTTTAAAAGACTTAATGTGGAAGATATATCTTTCTAGATATTCTTCTTTATTAGTTTTGAGAACAGGATGTATTTACATGCATGGCTATTAAATCCTGACATGTTTACGTGTCCATTTGTGGCTGCAGTTATAATTAATACAATGACAGTCCCTTTCATGTGTGCTGAATTCCTTTTTTCACACCCAAAGAAAAGTAGGAAGTTGTGCTTTTTTGTAATAAACTCCCAGAACGGGTTTTATTGCTTATGTTCATTGAAATTTATTCTTAGTAACTAATTTTCAGTGGAGCATATTTTTTGTTAGATTGCTATGAGTAACTGTCTTGTATATTCCAACTTTTTTGGGGGGAGTCCTTTTTGGACACAGAATATATATCTTCAGAGTGTTAGCTAATAAGAGATCACCATAAGTTGCTAAAGGAGATTTAAATCACAAACTCATCTGGGAAAATCTATTAAATCTTGGCTCATATGGAGTGAAATTGGATAGGAAGCATGATCTCTGCAAAATTTACTACAGAAAATGGAACAAACTAAAACTGTACAACTCTCAATGAAACCCCTCTATTTTCTGCAAAACAATCTTGGACATTAAAAGGAGAACATTCAAATGTGGCTAGAGTTAGATGTGGTGCCTCCTACTTCTGTTTCCTTATCTGTAAAATGGAGATGAGTCCCTCACAGAATTTTAGATTACTTACTGTTCTCAAAGCACTCTGATGAAAACCACTCTATAAATATTGAGTTCTAGAAGACGTACCTGGCATTGCACGGGTCCTTCAGGTTAGAGAGCTGGTGGTGGTGGGGCTTGAGGATGTGGGGGATCAGGGTAGAGGGTTGAGAAAAGGTTCAGGGTGGGGGGGTCCCATCTGGCAGAGGCCTTTTTTTCCTCCTCTCTCCCCCCTCTCCCCATGGCCAGCAGGGGCCTTTTCTCTCCCCCCTCCCCTGCACTGTAGCCAAGGGCTCGTGAGCTGCATGCGGCTCTTCCTCCCTCTTTCCCCCTCCCCCCCCGGTTCCTGCAGCTCGCAAAGCCACCCCGTGCCCCTAAGAATGGCCCCTGCCTCCCAGCTCCTCTGTGCTCACCAGGGAAGGGGAGCCGTCGTGTGCTTCCAATATGGCAGCGGCTGGCAGTAGCCTGCTGAGGCCAAAAAGCATAGAAACGCGCTTCTTGCCTTTCTTTCTTTTCTTTCTCTACATCTTGCCCTAGCTCTTCATGCTGTATCCACTAATATCTTGGCTCTTTATCCAGAATGGGTTGGCCACCCCTGGGCTGGGGTCAGAAAGGTTTGGGACAGGGGAGCTACTTAGCTGGTCTGGTGGCAGGCAAGATGACAAGCCCCAGCTGGCCACTCTCTTGGTCGTGTAGTTGTCCCCAGTTACCAGCTCTCCCCTGCACGTGCTGCCCCCAGTAACCACTGTGAGTATTGCATCCTTCTTTGTTGTCCCCCCCCTTCCATTTTATGGAAACCAGTCCTATTCCCACCATTTCCCATTTTCCTGGCACAACCAAATCCTAGCCTTACTTTATATTAGGATAAGAGGAAGCTGTGCACCAAATTTGATGGCTCTAGCTGTTACCATTTAGGAGAAATTTTTGACCAAATGGACTCGCAGACAGACACACACTCTAAAAATATATAGAGATTAATATAATCACAACAGCCTTGATCAATCTATTGAGACAATATGACAGGGACACTTAATAGCAAATTCAGAATGAAAGAGAAACATTTCTAGATTAAAAATAAAACTTTGAGAGAACTCTTCATGAAATAAGATGTCTGATAACAGGAAGGTGTCCAATGCCAGGCCTCCCAGTATATGTAAAGTAGCAAAAACCCCATTATTTTAGGCTAATGTCTGAAACTTGGAGGTTTTGAACTAGAAGTAAATGTTTCTTAAAGGGGTGTTTCAAAGCCAGTGAAAAATGTAAATGCTTTCTTTACTTTCCTGTTTAAATTTTGCACTGCTTACAGAAATAACTGTACTTTATTTTTATGTTCTGTCTAGTGAGAGCCAGTAATTAGGTGTTTTATTACTAGTAAATCCTTTGTGGTTCAATGTGTAATCAATATTATTAATTCCATTCTTTCATCACGAATTTCTGCTGCTGATCAGTTATGAAAGCTATTTTAATGTAAAATCAATGGCATAAAATATTTTGTTGGCACTTCAATTTATTCAGAGTACAAAGTACAATATAATGTATAAGATTGTTCCAGAATACTATATCCTCCCATCTACATTTGGAGCAGCAAGGTAAAAGAAGGGGAAAACCCCAGAGTTGTTTATTTAAAATTTGTTTTGGGTTGTCCATTTGGGGCTCCATTTATTTTGAAGAATAAAATATGGCCAGGAAAGAATGCACTATTTTCTGTGGAATTATTCACCCTCCAGATCTGCTGGGAATTAGCAAAAAGTAATGTTGAAAGTGAATTTATGCAGACATTTAACATGAAATGTTAACCTCAATCCTCTTTGGGATGTGGTGTAGCTAGGCTGTGTTTGGGGAATCCATTGAAGCATGTCTCCTGATGGATGCTCTGGGATCCAGTTTTCACGACATTCTGGTATTTGGAGGGCCAGCCTTGCTGCAGGGGTAGACAAATTCATCCCGTTTATTGAGTAGAAGCTCTCACCATTACTACAGAGTTTTCCAGTTTAAAGCTGGCTTTTCTTTGCCTTTTTA